CCTGAGTTAAGAAAGCCCCTCCTGAGGACTCCTGCATGACATAATTTGTCTGCACCTGGAAACCAGGAAGTAATTGAAGATATGTAATATGATGTGAGATTGATTGAGAGGGCAACATTCTGCTTTAACTTCTTGATTAAGCATACAAGTGAATGTGATGGCGGAGGGGAAGGGGGGGTTATTTTACATATTTTTACCAGAGTTCTTCCAATGATTTTACATTTTTCTTCCAGCATGTTTGATGTCGGTGGTCAGCGTGATGAGCGCAGAAAGTGGATCCAGTGCTTTAATGGTGATTTTATCCTTTATTGTTGCTTCTGATACAAAAATCAGGTCTGTGGTGTCAGTCTGTCATTTAGATTCTGCAAGTACACATTTACTCATTTCTCAAACGTTTGCTTGGAGACTTGAGGGATTTTTGTGACTTTGCCATTTAAATGTGATTTTAAATCTCATATTAAATCTAAAGAATACTAGATGCTATATTTGGTGGCCGTTTCAGACCTGTTAAAAAAATCAAGATGGAATAGCCAATATGCGTATACAGTAGAATCTGGGTCATTGGGGGGGGGGGGGGGGGGGGGGGGGGCGGTCAAAGCTCCTTGATGCACATGGGAAACAAGGGCTGGCCTGTGTAATTTTGATCCAATAGAAGAGCTAATTACTGAAAATGTTAATGCGTGTCCGATAGGTGAACACACAGTGCATCGCAGTTGGTTGCTTATGGGGCCTGCAGACGTAGACCGGTCAGGGTGTCCATGTTGACCAGCAGCCACATCCAAAAGTGCCTACAATGGGCACGTCAGTATTTTAATATGCTTTTGCAGACATCGGTTTACACTTTGACATTAAAGATTTTTTTTTTGTTTTTGTGACCAGTGTGAAACAAAAAAACAAATTATATCTTTTCAGTGATTCACTGTTTTATGCCAAAAGCTTCCAAGTGGGTGAATGCTCTTAATATGTACAGTTTAAGTAGTCTTGGGAATAAGTCATCAGTCAGAGCATCTACATGAAAAGTTTGATGAAAACATTTGCAATTTGACTGCCATCTTCTAAACCATTTTAAACGTTAACTAATTTTTTTTTCCCCTTCTTCCAGATGTGACAGCAATTATATTTGTGGTAGCCAGCAGCAGTTATAATATGGTGATCCGAGAGGACAATCAGACCAACAGACTCCAGGAAGCGCTAAACCTCTTCAAAAGCATCTGGAACAATAGGTATACGCGTCTTTTCTCTATAATATTTTAATGGGTTTTCTAGTGGTGTGAACAGGTAGGAGTTATGCATTTCTTTGTATGTTTCTATGATTTCATAGCAATGGGCCTCCTTATTTAACCACTTCAGTACTGGACACTTTCACCCCCTTCCTGTCCAAGCCAATTTTCAGCTTCCAGCGTTGTCGCACTTTGACAATTGCGTACTCATTGAACACTGTACCCAAATTACATTTGTATAATGTTTTTCACACAAATAGAGCTTTCTTTTGTTGGCATTTAATTACCACTGGGCTTTTTATTTTTTTGCTAAACAAAAAAAGACCAAAATTTTTTAAATTAAGTTCTTAAAAGTTTCTGTTATAAAATGTTGCAAATGAGTCATTTTTCTTGTCTGATGTGCGTTGATGAGGCTGCACTGAAAATCGGGGCGCTGATGAGGCTGCAGTGATGAAAGAAAATAAGGGAGCAATTCACAGTGCACGGTTTAAAGCATCACTTTTTCTCGTCCATCGAGGGACACAGAGTATTTAACGATCATATTATACTGCTTGTTTTTTTCTTTGCCCTGTTTGCGTTTTGTTTTTTGTGTTGCCCACCCCTCAGGAGGACATACAAAAGGTTTAAGGGCTTCCTGTGCCCTTAAACAGACGAGAAAGAAATATAGAATTTTTCATGCATGGTCTGAATTAAACGTTCAGTTCAGCCAAAACTGCTGATGCCATTTTTGGTTTAACCCTTTGAGGACCGTAATATTTGGGAACGCCAAAAGAATCAATTTTTTTTGTTTTTAAAGTTTGTACACTTCAGTTGCTGTAACTAAGCCATTTCATGAAATAATTGGCAAAAAGCTAGATCCATTTGTTGTTTGTTGATAAGAATTAATATTTTGACTCAAACCAAAAAAAAAAAAAAGTTTTAAGTTCTTAATCAGATGATACAGGCAATTAAAAACATGGGACAAATACGTCCCTTGGTCCTCAAAGGGTTAAGCTGGAGAGTTAAATCTCTTGATAAGTTCTTTATCGTTTGAATGACTGCTTTGACAAACCACTCACACACCACTTTATAAATATGAGCTGTAGTTTTTCATGGGTGTGTTCTCAGCCGTGTTAACTTGAAGCACAAAAAAGCAGGTGTCCTGACCCCCCGTCAGATGCCCCATTGACCAGTTTTGAGCTTGCCTGGTAAAGTGGTCCCTTATCATTAGAGTAGGATCTTCCCGGTGTCTGGAGACTACTGGTTTTCATGTCCAAAGAACCCCAGCAGGAGATGAGCATAGATCATGACCATACCATTGTGTTGTGATTTGCATAATGGGCTACCCCGATTTGTCTCTGGAAATATTTTGAATGTCTGCAGATGCCTCGCAGTTCCTACTCACAGGAACTGTGGACACTGAGAGATGAAGTATACCTGCAGGTTTGTTGTAAGACTCAATTCACATCAGCATTTAGCAGAACCTTTATACCATGCTACTCTGTATTCGTAAAACCTCCTGGGTGTTCATACCACGTACAGCACAGCAGGAGAAATTGAGCTTGCTCAAATGTATCCTAGGGCACAGTACAGATAACTTTACAAGCTAAATATCTTCCTGTATTTCACTGAAAATTGCATTCCAAACGTTTGACTGCATTTTTTGCATTGTAGGTGGCTACGGACAATTTCAGTCATTCTCTTCTTGAATAAACAAGATCTACTTGCTGAGAAGGTTTTGGCTGGAAAATCGAAAATCGAGGACTACTTTCCAGAGTTTGCTCGTTACACCACCCCAGATGATGGTATGAGTTTATCAGTGTTTGTTAAATTATAGACATGGTTTTGGCATAATGGGTGGGTAAAGTTTGCCAAACAGGTGTTATGTGGGGGATTTTTTTTGGCAAGTCTAAGGGCCTTTGTGAACAGGCGGCTGTTCTTGTCAAAATGTTTTTTTTCTGCATGCAAGTCATTGGGAATGCAAAAGCTGCTAGAAGCAGGTCAATGCAGCTTAGTGCAGCTCAGGATGAGGTCAACTGCAGGTCGAATTCACCAGTCAGAGAGCTGTGATCTCAGAAGCTTCCCAGACATATCTCAAATACAAGCGGAATGCACCTGAAAGCAAGCTACATTGGCCCATCAACATACCCCTTGTAATACGTAGAGGTTATGCAATATATGGGCAGGGGTACTACAAGTCATGCAGCTCAAAGAGAAATAGGCCCGATTTTAGCCCTGACAGAAACAATTGAGTACTGTCCATGATACTTTTTTTTTATTTGCACTAACATACAGTTTTCAGGACAAGCTTTCAGGGCATGTCCCCTTCTTCAAGGTCCAAGCAGTAATACTTCACTAAGTTTTAGCCCTGGCAGAATGTCACGTTCCTGCTGTGATGTTCCTGCTGTTAAAGAGGAACTTAAAACGGTTTTAAAAAATAAAGTAAGTAGGCAGCCCCAAATACTGTAGGTGCTGATTTTTAAAGCACAAAAATCGGCACAAGGGACATACGTCAGTATGGTGTGTCCCTTGTGATGATGCCATTTCAGTTAGGTGAAATCCTTCTCTGCCCAAGCCACTCTGAGTTCTTTAGAGTCCTAGCTTGAGCATGTGGGTCTGTTGACATAGTTTGCTATGTTGCCCACCCCTCAGTTGGACTGTATTTGGATGCCCCAACGTTCTAAGAATTAAAGCCTGTCTCCTTTTTAATATATGATCAAGAAAATAGGATTTTTTGTCTTGCCTGTAAAATCCTTTACAAAACACAGACTCCCTATCATCTGTTTCTTGGGTCCACCACTACAAACTGAGGCACGCTGGTTAGTGGTGTCCTTGTCCTGTACTGGTCTACAGTTTTCTGTTTGCCGTTGTCCAGTCCTCCTATTGGTGACTGTATCACCTACCAGTATCAGAATTCTTGTGTTTCTCTAAGGACTTCAGAAAAAAGAATTTATGGAAAAAAATTTTATTTCAAAAGCCCTTGCATACATGCACATACAAATGTTAATGTGTGCGTCTGATGCATGTAATTTATAAACAAATTGTAGATTTTTTTGTGATTTGTGTGTACTAAAATTAATTTATTTTTTAATTGAAAATATAGATTCTATATGTTAATATAGAGCGTGTATTTGTAGGTCTCTAACATGTGAGTTACTGTAAATAACTTTACTTTTCTCTTTAGTGTAAAGCTGGCCATATAGATAAGTCTGTGGAAATCTCCTTTAGATTGCTAAAACTATGAATATCTGAAGGCCTATCCTAACACATTTAACCAAAAAAAAAAAACAGCTGTTGGCAGTTTAAAGTGGTTCTAAAAGCTCAAGGTTAAAAACCTTCCATGTCCAACAGTCCCCCTAATACTTACCTGAGCCCCATTGTGATTTAGCGATGTGCACGAGAGCCTCTGATCTCCAGGGACTCTCCCCATTCATTGGCTGAGGCAGGAGCCACAGCCAGTGAGCAAATTAGAGAGGGGGCGGGGCCAAGCCAAAGCTCTGTGTGTGAATGGACATGCAGAGCAGCAGCTCAGGAGCAGACCTGCTTGGGTGCCCCCATAGCATGCTGTTTGCTCTGGGGGCAGTTGGGAGGAGCCGGGAGTGTCGGCAGAGGACCTGAGAGGAGGATCTGGCTGCTCCTGGTCTGTGCAAGACCACTGCACAGAGCAGGTAAGTATGACATGGTGGTTTTGTTTTTTTGTTTTTGGAAACTTGCTTTTAATATCACTTTAAAGTGTTGACACCCAAAAGTGCCTGCAAATCTCTGAAACAGATTTAAGGGTACATGCACCCCAGGTACAGTAGACCTGTGTTGGGTTGCTATTCCAGCACAGTCCTACTGTAAGACCAGGCAAAATATCTTGTCCCCTACCTGGCTGGCTCACACAACCGCATTGCGGTGGCATGCGTTGAACGCAACGTGCGTCAGCCAGTAGAACGTAATGAAATGTCACTCTGTGATATTTCAATAGTTTGTTTAAAAAAAAATAGAGCAGTGTGATATACCGCGATCAACACTGCTGCGATCAACACCATATTCCACAATACACAAACTGCTGCGTTGTAACAGGGGCTGGTGTGAATGTACCCTTAGTGCCCTTGCTTTACAAGAAAACTAAATGGTTGAGGTAAAGTTTCAGCACATGCTGGTTGTGCCTGATGTTTACCTCCCACACATTTGTGTTGTGCAAAAGGTACTTTTTGAGCTCTGACTCTTACCAGTAAGCAGCAAAGGTTTGCTCAGAACTGCCTGGCACTAAGGGGGGGGCAAAAACTCTTCATCAGATACGCACACCTATAGGTGCCTTCTCTTCAAATCTTATATAATTTTTTTTTTTTGCCGCGGGGTTCCCCCAAAAGTTAGTGTCATTTCAACTTTGTACCCCTCATGTTTACCCTTTCAACTTTTTTTTTTTTTTTTTTCCTTCTGTTTCCAGCAACTCCAGAGCCTGGGGAAGACCCCAGAGTCACAAGGGCCAAGTACTTTATTAGAGATGAGTTTCTTGTAAGTATTACAATTTTGTTTAAATATTTACGTATAGATTTTTCACGTGTAACTTTTTTGTAGAAGCTCCTGCTGGGTGTTGTGTCCTTAATCTGACTGACAAATGTGCCAACTTCCCAAGCCTCATGCTATTTCCAGAGCAGTAAAACTGACCCTATTCATTCTCAGTGCAAGTGACCTCACAGAGCAGGGGCTAATATGCAGTGGAGGAGTTGAACGTTAGCATAGTTCTTTAGCAGCTCTGGAAGATGCAGATTTGTAAGTGTCTGTATTTAGTTGTATGTCCATTAGTGAAAGCAGAAGTGAGTAGCTGACTATGCTGGCCACGATATATCTCATTTGCTAGATCCTAATCAACAGCCTATTCTCTTGTTAGATGGGTCAAAAAACGTAATGTATTCTTCCATATGATATGCTATTATCGCATACAGAAGTTGCATAATTAAACTCCTCTCGTGGCATGTTAGTGAAAATCCCAAAGCTGGTGCAAATCTTCATTTCTTTTTTTGCTGAATTTAGTGGCTAGCTTGAATGAGGGATTTAGGACAGCTACAAAATAAAGCAATTCAAACAGCATGATGAAAAAAAAAAAAACACATGTAATCAGACATGCTCTTCAGTAAAAAAGCAAGTCAAAATGATCAGCAGGTCCAGACAGATGCTACAAAAATCTCATACACCCTCTTCCTGTGAAAGGCGCACTTGGACTTGCTCACTCCTGCCTTTTGAAGAGCGAGGCCACATGTCACATTAAGGGTTTCATCAGGGGCTTGAATTCATAGGAAAGGACAAGATTTGCATATAATTTCAGATGCCTTTATCATCTAGAGCAGCGGTCTCCAAACTGTGGCCCAGGGGCCTGATGCGGCCCTTTGCGTGCTTTTATCCAGCCCTTGGGAGCATTATTCTCCCAACCCCCTATTCCTCCAGGTGGTACTAACCGTTCCTGCCACTGACACCAGGACATATTCTGCTCCCAAGGGTTTCCAGCCCCCCTAAAGTGTGAAGGACCGTAAACTGACCCTTTGTTTAGACGGTTTGGAGAGCCCTATACGTGGTATTTGAACTGCCTATGTTTGTGAGTGGTGGACTGGAATAGCCAGTAAAAGTTGGCTATTTAAAAAAAGCAATTAAAAAAGGGAATCTATCTATATTGCGTGCAAGAGATTCTCTGTCCAAGCCCTGCACATCTGCCATTTATGCGCCTCTTTTCATTCCTCCTCTAGAATGGCTGATTATTATTATTATTATACAGTATTTATAAAGCGCCAATAGTTCGCTCAGCGCTGTACATTACAAAGGGGGACAGAACATGTGACAGAACAATACCAATACAATGCAAAACATGAGGGGATCGAGGGCCCTGCTCTTTGGAGCTTACAATCTAGGAGGGAGGGGATGGTGGTACAGGAGGAGATAGCTGTGGGGGATGGAGTGGTAGGAAGAGTGGAGGAGGTCGGCAGGTTAGCAGGGGGTGGGGTAGGCTTCCCTGAAGAGATGGGTTTTCAGGGTGCGCCTAAAGGAGAGGAGAGTAGGTGATAATCTGATTGGTTGGGGCAGGGAGTTCCAGAGGATGGGTGACACCCTGTAGAAGTCCAGGAGGCGGGCATGGGAGGAGGAGACCAGGAAACTAGAGAGAAGGTGGTCTTGTGAGGAGCGGAGAGTGCGTGCTGGGCGGTACTTGGATATTAGGTCAGTGATGTAGTTCGGGGCAGTATGGTGGACGGCTTTGTACGTCAGTGTTAGGATTTTGAATTTGATCCGTTGCGTAATCGGAAGCCAGTGGAGGGATTGGCAGAGGGGGGTGGCGGAAACAGAGCGGTTGGAAAGGTGAACGAGTCTGGCAGCCGTATTCAGGATCGACTGAAGCGGGGATAGCCAGCGGCGAGGCAGGCCAGTGAGAAGGGAGTTGCAGTAGTCGATGACCTGTCTTAATTTTTGTACAGCCACAATAGTATTTACATACTTTGCATTACATTCATTCATCAGTGCGTATATCTTTTTTAAAAAAATTTTTCCCCCTCTTCCTGCAGAGAATCAGTACAGCAAGCGGAGATGGCCGGCACTACTGTTACCCTCACTTCACATGTGCGGTGGACACAGAAAATATTCGAAGGGTTTTTAATGATTGTCGGGACATTATCCAAAGGATGCACCTCCGTCAGTACGAACTGTTGTGATGGAGAGATTCTCTTATATATTTTTTCCTTTTTTTTTTTTTTTTTTTTTCTGGACTCTTAATTCAATTTAAAAAAAGAAATGAAACTGCAAAAATCCCACAGAAAAATATATTCAAAAAAAAAAAAATCTTTAAAAAAATAAAGGGGGGGTGGGGAAACAATTCACCCATGAAGGGATGAAAAAAACCTGCGTGCAAACTCCCTCTCCAGCTTGCACCTGTTTTTACTTGTTTCCTTGCTGCCGGACAATTGTGGAACTGTTAGCTTGCTGCCCTTCACCCCTCAATGCCCTGAAACAGCACGGGCTGGCGCCAAATCTACCCTTGACCTCTACCCCCTTTACAACCCCTTCCCCTTTCAAAATGCCAACATTAAATGCAGTGCGTGTGGAGGATTTTGACATAAAATAAGGTATACAAATGCAGCTGGAAGAGAGGGACTGTACAGTAGGCTGGAGGCTGTACCTAGACTTTCCTCCCCTTTCAATAATAAGCTGGGCCTAATTTTGTGTTTTTTTTTTTTTTTTTTGTTTGTTTTTTTTTTTTAATCTTCACGTATTATATCAACTTTGTATTCCTTCACTGCATTGCTGACCGCCAACTGAGAAAGAGGACACCTGACTCTTGACTGTAAAAGAGAGAAACAAAAAGAAACAATTGTCTTGGTATCACTGAGCTGCCATCATTGGGTGTGCAGTTGCAAGAGGTAATTTATTTTGCCTTTCACAAGGGTGCCATTTTTTGATTTTTCCTTTTTTAATTTTTTTTTTTTTCTTTCTTTTTTTTTTTTTTTTTTTTTTTATAGAAAAAATAATAAATACTTTGATATGTTGAAAATCATATCCATGTATTTATTTTCTAAATAAAAGCCCTGGCCATTTTAATTTGGTCACAGTTAACCATGCTTCTTTTTTTTTTTTTTTTTTTTTGTGCCCCCTTTCTCACCCTACCACCACTCCACTTTATCCTTACACAACCTTTTGTGTGATCTTTAAATCTTCAGTCCTGAACAGAATGTTAGACCTATCCGCACGAACATGATCACTTCCTTTTTCCTTCTGTACAACACCCCACTTCCCTACACTTTTTTATTTTGTTTTGTTTTTTTTTTTTCTGTTTTTGTTTTTTATTTTACTGCTGGATTATTCTTTGTACAGAATGTAAAATGTATTATTTTGTACAACTTTATTGAAAAAAAAAATAACTTGTAGAAGATCTTTGTGCCTTGATTTTGGCTGTGCCCTGTACAATGAGCTAAAGATGTAAGTATGTCAAAAAATTTACTCTGTACAGCAAATGTCACCTCTGCCCCGCTCCCTTTTTCCCTTCCTGCGCTCGTTCGGACATCGGGCAAATCGATCTGTAGTACTAGTTATTTTTTTTTCTTCCTGGTTTACAAAAAGGAAAAAAAAACTGTTTAGTTAAAAAAAAAAAAAAAAAAAAAAAAAAAAAAAAAAAAAAAAGAAAATGTACAAATGTTGCAAATTTAACCACTTTAAAAGTGGGTCGTCATGGTGTGACCCACTGTGACTTCATCGTGCTTTTTAACTTTTAGCTTGAACTCATTTAAATCTCTATCCAAATGCAAGAACCTGGCTTGTTTCTACATAAACAAAATTTTGCTACAAAGAAGTGCTAGTTGTTTTATCCTTGGAAATACCTATTTTTACTTTAAATTTTTTTTTTTTTTTTTTAGCCAGTCTGTCACGTAGCTTATTATTATCTCCACAAGCAACAAATTATCAAGAACATTTCTTGAGGAAATTACATAGGTTGACATCGATGATGTTTTTTGTTTGCTGTCCTGAGGATCCCTTGGCTTCAATAATTTGAGTCACACCTGGTAATAATATGCAGCTGCTGATGTGTGAAAGTGAGGTCAGTGACTTGAGGTATTGAAGTCCAGGATGAGCAAAACAGCCTAGTAACTAGCATTTTCTGGAGAAGAGGTCAACAATGATGGTAGCCTAGGTATGCCACTGATATGTTCAGTTTCCTTTTGACTGGTTAGTCCACCAAAACTCATTTTGGAAAATGCTGGTGTGTTAAATATGTTGATTATTTATTTTTTTTGTATAATCGCTCTCAACAGTGAGATGCTTGTATTTATCCTTCATTGAGGGACACAAGAATTGAGATACAGTATGGTTATACTGCCACCTTAGTGGTTTGAACACTGCCAAACAGAAAAATCATAAGCCATCCTCCAAATAACCGTTCCTTTACCTAACATGCCTTGGTATTTTGCTAGTGTCCTAGGACCTCCATTGAAGATTCCTTCCTATACTGCTGGTAATAGTAATAGCCGCTATCTGGATGAGTATTTTCACATTAATAGGTTTGAAGGCCATACCTGGACCCCACTGAGCTGGATGTGCTTGGCTAGCCTGGCATGTGACCTTAGGGCACTGCATTGTGGCACCTTCCATATCTGTTATTTAGCAATGCTTTCGAAGTTCAGAGTCCTAGCACAGCCCCGGGTGTAGCCCTGTCCTTGAAGACTTCCCTCGTGAGTAAGGCTGTTTAGATTGAAGCAGCTCTTCAGTTACGCCATTGGGCACCTGTGTAAATTTTCCATCAGCGCTGGTTTACTGCGGTAAAGGTTAAAGTGCTTACATCTGATTTAGAGCAATGCGTGATTTCTTTCCTGCCATTTAGCCTGGAGCAAGCACCATGTTGCTCCTGCTCTTGGATCATCACACAGATCTCTGTTCTCCAGTCTGTTTCTTCTGCTCATCTTCAGTGACCTGGTCACCCCCAGCCACCATCAATCCTGATTAACTCCAGTAGCTTTGCCTGATATTAGGCCTAGTTGCAATACTGCTGCAAGGAAGCAACATATCTTTTACTAGGACACAGAGGACAGTCCCACTGCTATGGGTGACCTCAAGCCATTCTTCGCTGGTGGTTCAGAGGTGTTTAACAAGTATCCCCAGAATGAACTGGCTCCTGTAATCTGAAACCTGCAGCCAATACTGTTATAGAATTGGCATCAATGGAGTCTTTCGCAGCTCCTTTGAATGGGGATGTGTCTTCCTCATGTCCACAAGATTTTCCATGTCCACTCAGCAACCAAGGCATTCTGCCCGCAGAGTTTACAAATGTGCTCAATCAGCATCCCCTGCAGATTCCTCCTGTAACCCCTGACCCCGGTCCCTTGCCGAGGTCAGGTCTGTGGGACTTGTTACAATCACTGACTGATTCCCAGTCCCAGCAGTCTACCTCTGAAGAGAGGCATCCATTGTTTCCTGCTATCACCTCAGATTTATGGGGGGTTGTGTTAGACCTTATTATGCAGTATGTTCAGCCCTGTTTCTGGAGCATCAGTCTGCTGTTCCAGGCCTTTTGGTTATTTTAGGGATGTTACAGCTGCAGAGACCTTCCCACTACACTGTTTGTTGATGCATTCCGTTATACATAATGTAAATACCCCTAGGGGCCCTGAGCCCACAAGAGTGTGCCTGAACATTTCCCCTTTGAGAGGGAATTTGGTAACTGGCTCCCACCTTGCATACATCAGTGGGCCACCCTAATAGGGCGTCCACTAAATTGGTTGAGACGATGCTCACCTTTCAGGATCCCACTAACAGCTGGAATCCATCCTTAAATCCCAGTTTATTGGCAGGTTTTATTTCTGTGTCCTGTATTGGCGGTGCCCTAAATTTCTCGTACCATGTCACAATCGATGCACTTAGTCCCCTAAAGGGACTCATTGGGGGTAGGCCCCCGCTTCCTGTGACAGAGAAAATTTGCGGAGCCTTCTTCAGTTGTGGAGACTTCATAACATCCAAGCTTGTGACGCACATGGATACGATCATACAAATGCACCATGCAGTCTGGCTGTGCGCATTGAGCGCTGACTCTACCGTCAAGGAGTGCCTTGACTCTTAACCTTCAAACTATATGGTCTATTCAGTCCTGACCTTGACTTGATCAGCAAAACCATGGGTGGACAGAGTGCCTTCTTGCCTTAATGTAAGTTTGTGGAATGCTCAGTATATCTCCCTTTAAAGAGAATCTATTTTTTGCAGCAGTGCACTCAGCACCCTTCTGTAGGGTCTGGCACCCTCAAGATTAGACTCGGTTAGGGCTCACATATATCGAATGGTAGTTACCTGCCACCAGAAGGTGAGGCTGTGCATCTTAAACCCTCGTTCAAAAGGGCTACCCGCTGTATGGCATTAGGATTTTCAGCAACAGGAAGGGAATGTACCCCTTTTGATTGTGCAGGGATGTGTGGTGAGGAATCCCATTTCAGGAGAGTCTATCTTGCCATTGTTGGTGCTTGGGCCTCCTAAACCACCATTTCCCTTGCTAGGAGTCTGAGCTCTTAAGAGCTGCCTCTAAGAATTTGTTTCTTCAGGTTAGTGGGGTAGTCTCTTCCCAACCTCCACCCTCCCCCACCTTCATCACTTGCTGGGTTGTCTCCTTGCCCAGGGCTCCAGTCTCACTCAACAGAACAGATGGTTCCAGCCTTGAGTCACTTTCCTTATTTGTACATCACTTTGGTGTTCCTGTGCCTTTTTTCTCTGGAAAGGAGTGGAAGTCCTTTCTGTAATAGGACCGTTTACCTGGACTGTATGCTGGATGACACCAAGAATACTACACTTGGCAGCACTTTCTTCGCTACAAAGCACTGAAACATGGCTCTTCTCATTTAGTAGTCTCTGCACCAAAGGGAGCTTTCTGTACACCCAGGTGCTCTTCATCTTCTTAGCAGGCAGAAACCTTTGCTGAAGGGATTTGTACCCTCCTGTACTGTCAGCAGGCAGAGCATCCTCGATGCCCACTTCAGGGACCCCCCTGTTGGGAATATGGTACATCATGGGACCTATTTGCCTGGATACAGGTTGTCCTCCTGTGGTTGCTCTCTAGCCTTGTGGGGAAGGTTCTTGTCTTTCTATGGGCCTAGTTATATCAGACTTTCCTTTGGGGATCTGTTTTCCTGGGTGTTGTCCCAATGTTTTCTTTGTTGACCACATCATGTTGATGGTCTGTTTCAGTGGATTTAGGGTTTCAGTCCCTCATGGATTCAGGCCCCATGTTCCTTTGGGTGGAGTCATTCCTCTCTCTGTGATGGAAATATCCTTTTGTCTTTGTCATGTCATCAGGTTCATGCTCACTAACGTCTCCTTGGTCATTGCCAGTTTCCCTCATTTTGCAGGGAGCTTGGTTCTTCAGGTGGTCCTGAGTTTGCAGATTCGCCACACTTCCCCATAGGCTTGTTAGCGGTTGTTACCCACTTCTCTGTTTACCTGCATTTGAACATCCCGACTGTATCTGAATTCCAGACTAGGAGTCCATTTAGGAACACTGGTCTCAACCTACTGGTTCTTTTCCACTGGCCTTGGTACCACAGGACTGAGGCATACTTGCTAGAGGAGTTATATATGGAGGCTGGCTGTTTTGTAGGTGACAGTATAACCCAGCTGTATCTGAAATGCATTACCCCTCAATGGCCTCCAACAAAAAAATTTTACAATAAGTACAAAAATCCTATTTTGTTCCTGGCTCTATATAGCTGTCACAAACGTTTTACCATCCCAGGGACTTTCTTGCTTTCTTACAGGGTAAGAATTTCTTGGGAAATTTCCACTTTGGCTCCGGAGACCCTTGTATTGCTTGTTTTATAGATTTCATTTATAAAAATTTCAGCCCATGCAGAGTTGACATGTCAGTTTGTGGTGAACACTGATGGTTTTAATCAACTAGCATGTCATGGTGTCACAAGAGGATAGATCTCATTTCAAATGTCCCCTTTCTGTCATCTTGCAAGTGGCCTGACCTGGTAAGTGTGGCTTATGGAGGTGTCCCCCATAGGGTATGTGAGGAATAGGCATTCAGGCCTGGTGCTCAAGGTTTATGGACCACTGTGGGAATCTCCCTTCTGGTGCCTGTACACGTTACTGAAAGCTGAAACGTCAGATCAAAAACTGCCACAGAATTCTGGGTCATTTTTGTTTTGTCATCAATAACCACCTCCACCATCCGTCCTATGAACGCTTTTCTTTCAAACACAGGTAATTCTGACTTCAGAACCTAAAAGTGGCATGCTGGGAGGTCCTTGTTGGTCCAGATATTTTAAGATGAAATCAAAATGTCCTTTTCTGATCAGCAAAAGCTTCCATTTCTACTTTTTTTTTTTTCTTTTTCCTTTTTATATGGTTGTCTGTGCAATAAACTGAAGGAAATTGATCAGCAAGTTTTATTAAATTCATGGAATGACTATAATTTGACCTCCAGCTTTGAACAAACTTGGAGAAACAGTGATTCAGTTACAGGAGTAGGGGGATAAGACTTCTAATCAATTCTGGCAGAATACCAAAGACTATTGTGAATAGAAGAAAGCAAACGTTTTTTGTTTTTCTCCTCTCTGTTGATTCCAGAAAAACCACATGCAGATTGAAACACAGGGTTGTTTTTTTTTTTTTTTTGTTTTTTTTTTTTTTTTTTTACTAGAACTGGAAAGTGCAAAATCTGGTGCAGGTCTGCATAGAAACCAATCTGCTTCCAGGTTTTATTGCCAAAGCTTCATTGAACAGGCTGACGTAAGAAGCTGATTGGCTATCATGCACAGCTGCACCAGATTCTGAGTGCTCCAGTTTTAGTAAAACTCCCCCAAAGTGTTCTAATATCAATGTGCAGCGCTAATGAAAATGTGTGTTATAATCAATGATGACCAATGTGATTGTAAAAAAGAAATCGGGAATTGTGACCACACTAATGAAGAAACAAAATGGGTATAACAAATGAAAATATATAAGTCCTCTAAATATCATAATAGTCCCAAAAAAAGTGATCTAAATATTGACATAGTGTTTTGGTGGAGACAGAGGGTTTGCCACGTTGTGCTAGCTGCTTTACTTTTTTCTTTTTTTGTCTTGCGATCACCATGTATTCTTTGATTATCCCCCAAAGGGTGTTTGACAAAGTACAAAATGACTTGTTTTACAAATATTCGGTTGGTTTTCTGTCTTGTATAAACCAAAATATTTCTCTTTTAAAGGAAAACTTCAGTTTTCAAGCCATATCCAAGTTTTCGATGGACTTGGAGAGTAAATTCATGTAGAGTGTTTTTTTTTGTTTTTTATTGCTTTCTGAGACCCTGTTGGAAAGGTTCACCTTACTCCCCCTCCTTGTGATGGCAGGACAAATGGAGGGAATCTGTTGTCACTGAGACAGGAAGACACAAGGAGTGGGAACACTGGCCTCAAATAAATTAACTGACAGCTGGTTTCAACCCTTTTTCCTTTCAAAAAAATATGTTTTGCCTAAAGCTTTTCATTTTTGACTGGATGATTTGAGGTCAAGCTTCTGCTGTGAAGGTAGCAATGTTGTTAGCTTATATACTGAAATGTATTTTATTCTTTATAACAGTGTTTCCTAACTGCGTTTGTTCAAGGACCACCAACAGGTCATGTTTTCCAGAGGACAGCAAATCTGTTTTAATCACAGTATAAACAAAGCAGACCATCTGACTTGTGATTGTGTCAGGAGATGTGGGTTTACACAGCGTGTTAAAGGAAATCTGTCAAGAGGACATAATCCCATGTTAAAATCCCAAAGCAGATCCTTAAACCAAACTTCAGAAAACAATCATGGAATCCTGCCATGGGATTCATACAGGTGACCTTTTGAAAATGCCAGCTGCCTGTATCTGACATTAATCTTCTATGAAGTGTAAATTCACCTTTTTCAGAAATAATGAAAATGTGGACAAACACTCTAGAGCCTCCTCATCGTCCAGTTCCTACTGTACTTGCCTCCGGGGGTGGTGAACTGTCAGTGCACATGCAGAGGTCTGCAGTGTTTCTGGGACAGATCAGAGCAATTCTGATTGGTCAGCGCTAGAACAGAGCATCACTCCGATTCGTCATAGAAGCCCAACAGAAAGAAGGGGGAGAAGAGCAAGGATTTCAAATGTCCAGACGGCTGCGTGGGTACTGGCAGATCATCACACACCGACGTGAGGACTTAAGGCGGCTGTAGGGTGTTATTACACCTTTTCATTGTTTATGAAAACGTGAACTAACCCTTTAAGTTCTCACTTGGAACAGCAATGGACAGTACTAGTAATCTGTATATTAATTCTGGGTCATTGATGCAGATTACATTAAAGCTAGAGGCTTAACATAACAGCCAGACAACTGTCATTTTCAGGACAACGTCCATTGCCTTTGTCTCCAATGATAGGTTTTCATAAATGCTTTCTTAGGACTGGTTTGGTCAGTCCTTTTTGAGATGTGTCTTGCAACTAACAATTGTCTAGATCAGGGGTCCTCAAACTTTCTAAACAAAGGGCCCATTTAGTGCCCTTCAAACCTCAGGGACCAGACTGGTGAAAGGGAGTATTAATAAAAAAAAAAAATGCCTTGGTATCAACTTAAAAAAAAAAAAAATCACGACTTATCTGCAAGTAAATAATGCTATAAGCTTGTTGTTCAGTGGGAGGAATAGTGCCCCATCATTGGTGTCGGTGGGAGGAATGGTGCCCCATCATTGGTATCAGTGGGAGGAATAGTGCCCCATCATTGTTGTTCAGTGGGAGGAATAGTGTCCCATCATTGGTGTCGGTGGGAGGAATGGTGCCCCATCATTGGTGTCGGTGGGAGGAATGGTGCCCCATCATTGGTGTCGGTGGGAGGAATGGTGCAACATCATTGGTGTCGGTGGGAGGAATGGTGCAACATCATTGGCGTCGGTGGGAGGATTGGTGCAACGTCATTGACGACGGTGGGAGGAATGGTGCCCCGTCATTGAGGTCGGTGGGAGGAATGGTGCCCCGTCATTGGCGTCGGTGGGAGGAATGGTGCCCCGTCATTGGCGTCGGTGGGAGGAATGGTGCCCCGTCTTTGGCGTCGGTGGGAGGAACAGTGCCCCAAGGGCCAGATATAGGCAAGCAAAGGGCCACATCCAGCCCACGGGCCACAGTTTGAAGACCCCTGGTCTAGATGGCACCCTTTTTTTTTTTTCCTCTTCTTGCCAGTATGCCTCTTGGAACATCAGGGTGGGTAATGTTACAAGCTGTTCTATGGATGATCCAACTGGCTTACAGTTATATATCTGTTTATAACCTGTGAGAAATCCGCTGAAGTTGGTTCAGTGGTCAACCTACCCATAAGTTATGTTTTTGTAACAGAATCTGGTGTGTTGAATCACCTGCTGTCTTGTCACTTTGGGACTTGAGCACTGACATCTCACTGTTATATATTTGGTCTCTCTTCTGCCCTCTTACATTTTTGTCTTTTACATTTCTCTCAGGGCCCATTCACATCACAACGCACATAAAGCTCACCTGCAGTCAGTTGTGTTTTGGTACGCATTTATGTCCATTTGTTTATGCGTAGGTCTATTTTTTTTAAAGGCATTTTTTTTTTCTCTGACCCAATTGTGGGTGAGAGGTTTGTTGTGTTTATCTGTGTGTTCTAGTGCAGTGTTAATGAAATATATTGCACTGTTCTAGAATGCAGAGAAAAATTGCAATTTCTGTATGTGAATGCAGTTACCTGCCTTTTTTTCCTCATGATAACTGCACATTGTGTGAACAGACTGAGTCCAGGTTTCCTTGAAAACCCAAACTGTTATCAAACGCTATATTTTCAGACTATTATCAGGGGTAGACGGACCCTTTAAAGACTCATTTACTGTCCTAAAATTTCAGTTGCCTGGCTGGTGATGCCAGTTGTCTGGCTTCAGTACTTTACACTGATCAGTCATAACGTTATGACCACTGACAGATGAAGTGAATAACAATGATTATCTCATTACAATGGTATCTTAAAGTGGGTGGGATATATTGGGCGGCAAGTGAAAATGTTGTCCCTAAAGTTAAAGTGGAACTTTAACCATAACTTTATAAAAATAATGTTCTTTAGCAAGGAACATACATTGCACATTAATAATTATACCACCAAAATGAGTATGTGCTGTAAATTGCTTCCAGCATTGTTCCTGTTTCTTCTTGCTGGAGGCTGCCATTTTGTTGAATCCCAGAGCAACTGTAAATTTTTAGGCTGCCAGCAGATCAGTGCCTAAAAAAAAAAAAGCAAATGAGCACATGCTGAGCAGGGTGAGACAGTGTATTACTGGATTTTAATAGCATTTTAAAGCGATATTAAAGGTTAAACAAAAAAAAAACCATCAGACTTGCGCCTGCTCTGTGTAATGGTTTTGTACTGAGCAGCCCCGATCCTCTTCTTGGGTTCCCTGGCTCCTGGCTTTTCCTCCTTGCCCAATGCAAGCTCCTTGCTATGGGGGCACTGGTGTGTGTTTGCTCTTGAGCCCTGCTCTATGCAACCATAAGGCACATAGAGCCACTACTCTGCTCCGCCACCCGCTCTCCTCATTGGCTCTCTGGCTTTGACAGCAGTTGGAGCCAATGAGGGGAGAGAGAAATGAGGGCACCCGAACAGATTGCTGAGCCAAGAAGGGAGCTCAGGTGAGCATTAAGGGGCTGTGGGGGGAGCAACATGCAGGGTTTTTTTTTTTTTTTTTTTACCTTAATGCATGAAGGTAGCAAAAACCTTCAGCCTTTACAACCACTTTAAACAGTATAGACCAGTGTTTCTCAAACCTTTTTCAGTCAAGGCACCCTTTAAAATGATGGACAGTCCCGAGGCACCCTTTAAAATGATGGACAGTCCCGAGGCACCCCATTCTAAAATGTTAAAAAACTATTCTAATAGTTTTATATAACGCAGCAACATCCACACATGTAGGACACCCAACATTAGAGGGGATTTATTCTTCCAAAGCAAATACACTTCACACTGGTACTGACTAGTATTCCAATGTTTCTCTTCTCCCTCAGTTTTTTTCCATCACTGAACTAATGTGACCCCAGCACTGATAGAGAGGGGCAGGGGATGATAAAAAACTAGGATGCTGTGCAGGTGGCTGACAACCTCCTTACCAACTGATGATGTAATTGGTTGTCAGGATGCTAGCGGCTAGAAGGTCGTAATGGTGCACAATGAAAACTTGTGGCTTTGTGTAACTAAAAGGCAGGCTTGTTCCACGCACTGGCTTGTATACAAGTTTTGGGCAATTTTTGGACATTTTGCCAAGGGACCCCTGAAGAAACCTCAAGGCACCCCAGGGTACCTGGGCAGCCTGGTTGAGAGAAGCTGGTATAGACACTTAATATTTTACATAGCTATACCTGCAAAAGGGGCCTGCCTGAAGAATCTAGCAGGACTTAATTTTCTGACTAAATTTCCACTTTAATGTGTTGAAAGGAGAAGCAATGGGCATGTAAGCACCAGAACTGGACCACAGGGCAATGGAAGAAGGTGGCCTAGTCTGATGAATCACATTTTCTTTTACATCATGTGGATGGCCATATGCATGTGTGTTGCTTACCTGGAGAAGAGATGGCATCAGGATGCAGTATGGGAAGAAGACGGGTGGACAGAGCCAGTTTGATGCTGGGAAACCTAGATCCTGCCATTCATGTGGATGTTATTTCACAAATACCACCTACACCGCTCACAGTATTCCCTGATGGCATTGACCTCTTTCAGCAGGATATTGCACCCTGCCACACTGCAAAAAAATAGTTTGACGAACACAATGACACGTTTGATGTGTTGACTTGGCTTCCATATTTTCCAGATCTCAATCCATCAAGCAACTATAGGAAGTGCTAGAAAAACCAGTCTGATCCTTGGAGACCCCACCTTGCAACTTATGGGACTTAAATGATTTGCTACTGATGGCATGTTGCAAGATACCATATCATACCTTCAGAGGTCTAGTGCAGATGATACCTTAATGGTTCAGAGCTGTTGCAGCAAAAGGGGGATCTACTCAATATTAAATGGGTAGACCTAATGTTATGGTTGATTGGTGTAAAGTGACTATACAGTCTGATTGTACAGTCTCCTTTAGATCTACTATCAAGTAGGCAGTGCAATTGCCTCCCCGATTTAATTCTAATAAAGTGAATTGTTTAGGTCTTCCTGTGACATAGGTTTGGTAATTCTGTACAGTGTGTGGCCAGTTTTAAAGTGGTTGTAAAGGCTGAAGGTTGTTTACCTTCATGCCTTCTATGCATGAAGCTAAAAACCTGTGTACAGCAGTCCCTGCAGCCCCTTGGCTGTCCTGGGTCTATGCCTCCTCATTGGCTGAGACAGCAAGTGGGAGACATTGGCTCCCGTTGCTGTCAATCACAACCAGTCAGCCAACGAGAGGGGTGGGGCCAAATCGCCACTCCTTGTGTGAATGGATACACGGAACAGCAGGTGCCCCTACAGAAAGCTTCCTGCTCTGGGGGCACCCAAAAGGAGGAGCCAGGAGAGCCTGTGGGGGACCGGAGAAGAAGATCCAGGCTGGTACCACTGCACACAGCAGGTAAGTATAGATATGTTGGTATTTTTACAAAACAAAAAATTAACCTTTAGAATCGCTTTAAGTCCCAGAACAAATAAAGTTCTTTTTGTTTTTTTTCTTGATCTGCGTGGTTGAATCTGGTTCAAAGTACTGCAGTACATCAACCAAGAAATGTGCATTTCTTAATAATGTCAGTAGTGGTAGCCGCCATATTTCTTTTGACAGATTTTTTTTTCCATACACCTGTCATATTACAGATGGTTATTGCTGACTTCTCCATAAAAAAAGCATGTGGACTGGTTCTCTTGCTAACCATGAGTCATGGCCTGAAACTGGCAGCTAAACTGTATGTGGACCCTAACAATGAATTTCTCTTATTTGCTCCCCTTTTGATCTGTTCAGTATGCCATTGAAAGTGGTTGTTTTTTTTTTTTTGGCACTGGGGGGGGGGGGGGGGGGGGGGGGGTTGACACTGATTTTACAGCTGGGATTTGACATGAAGTATAGTGCCAGTGTAACCACATTGGGGGGGGGGGGGGGGGGTGGCTTTGGTGATATATTTTAACTGCTTCTCATTTCAGTTTACATTTAATTATCTCTTTTAATATATGAATTTGAAAAAAAATATACACACAGACAGGGGCGGACTGACAACTCATAGGGCCCCCGGGCAATAGGGGATCATGGGGCCCCTGTGTCTTTGCCCACACTCAAAAAAGCCTATAAAAAATGTACCAGGGTCATTTCATGGGGCCCCCTACTGACCCCGGGCCTTCGGGCAGTGCCCAAGTGTTCGAATGGTCAGTCCGCCCCTGCATATAGATGTAATCTCAGAAAAACGCTCTTTGCTAGGAAAGGAAAAAACTCCCCTGGACGTTGCAAAGCTTAGCGGAGATGCGAGGGCTGATGGTAAAGTTTGTGGCTTACATAAGAGTAGATTTGGGTAAAACAGGACATTTTACAGGCTGCACTAGGAATGGTTAGAACCACTCGGAAGTTTTCTTCTCACTTCCTGTTTCAGAAATGCAACAGGAAGTGAATGGAACGCATTCCAAAATGAGCAGAAATTCCTTTTTACACAGTTGTTACAAGGACAGGTGTACCCTTTATTGGAAGTTCCCCACACCACTGGTACTGTGTCCTGTTGTAAAATGTTGGCTTTTAGATCACTGTGTTCTGATAACTCCCTAAACTAAAGGAGAAGGTGAATCTCTTCAGCAGAGATTGTAAAATAACACTTTAAGGCTCCATGCACCCTAGCCCCTAGTAGTTGTTTTTTTTATTTTTTTTTACGGCTTCTAGAAGCTAAATAGTGTAATCCTTCGTGTCCATGCACACTATTTTAGGCTAGTATCTCCACTTTGTAAAAAAAAATTTTTTACTCTCCTGAGTTTTTTTTTTCTGGCAGAAAAAAAAAAGCTAAATGCTACTGAAACCGAACGAAACAGCTTTATTTTCTAGCTTTTTTTCTTCCTACATGTACTGTAAAAATGCCAATAAAAGGCTGTTGAGCCTAAACACGTTATTATCAGCCTGTTGCGTGTTTTTTTTTTTTTAGTTTAAAAACAAAACGCTATGTCTCCA